ATAAGGATTTCAAAGGTCTTTCTTATTGAAAGGACAAAGTTGAGAGGTTCCTTCCTTCTATCCCTGGATAATGAGAGACTGCACCCACATACTTCAAGGGATGTTTCCCTCTCCCGAGGGCTCTTTGTTCCACAAAAGAGCTGGGTGTTCAGTGTCAGGGAGGCTGATGGAGTTCCAGAGAGCCTGTCAAACTCAACCACACAGCAGCATGACACAAGAGGAAGACAGGGACACACCCACAGAGACACTGAGAGAGGGATAGACACGTAGAGAGATACGTGAGCATTGATGTCACAGACACACAGCAATATAGAATGCCAGAAACAAATACCAAGCAAATAAGTGAGGCTGAAATGGGAAGAGAGCAGCCGCGTCAAATCTTGAATTTCGTGTTCTGTCTGTCATGCTAATTTTGAGTTAAAGCAGTGGCTGCATCATTTAGACCCCCTCGGAGCAGAGGTTCTCAACCTGTGGGTCGTAAACCTTTATGTTCAAAGGACCCTTTCACAGGGGTCATCTAAGACCATCAGAAATCACAGATATTCACATGATGATTTACAACAGTAGCAAAATTACAGTTATGAAGTAACAACGAAATAATTGTATGGTTGGGGGTCATCAAACATGAAACTGTATTAAAGGGTTGTAATATTAGAAGGTTGAGAACCACTGCCTCAGTGGAAAGACAATTGCCCTTGCAGAAATATTTAAGGCAATCAGCCACTAAAGAAATGTGTTTTTGATCTGTAGCCATCCTTAACACCCTGACACATCTTTGCAGGCATCTGCTGTGCTGAATTTGGTCTCTCACCTTCCCTCCAGTGTTGCTTAGAACCTAGATGGCCTCTCCTTTACTTGGTCCTTCTGGAGACTATCCCTGGGTTTGTAGGCCAGTTTGCTGCTGTGGTGTGTGTGTGTGTGTGTGTGTGTGTGTGTGTGTGTGTGTAAAACAATAATAAATACAGAAGAGAAGGTCACGAATTTGGGAAGGGGAATGAGAGGAGTAGAAGGGGAAAGGCAGAAGGGAGGGGGAAATGATATAACTACAGTACTCATGTACGAAATTCTCAAAAATTAGTCACTAAAAAAGTCACACATCACCCTCCAGGACAGGAAAATTGAAGAGCAAACCACAGCAGAGCAGAGACTGAGGTCATGGCTTTGAAAGGTAAAACTCCAACTTTCCATCTCCATTCTGACAGGCGCCAGGCCAAGGGTTCTGATGAAGTATATGCTGTCAGCTTCAGGATCCCTTTGGAAATGAATGACTCCAAGTAGGAAGCTGTGGTGGTTTGAATGAGAATGGCCACAATAGACTCAAATATGCGAATGCTTGGTCCCCAGTCAGTGGAACTGTTTGGGAAGGATTAGGAGGTGTGGCCTTGTTGGAGGAGGGTTGGACTTTGAAGCTTCAAAAGCCCATACTGTTCTTAGCGCTCTCTCTCTCTCTCTCTCTCTCTCTCTCTCTCTCTCTCTCTCTCTCTCTCTCTCTCTCTCTGCCTCCTACTTGTAGATAAGGATATAAGCTCTCAGCTACTCCTCTAGCACCTTGCCTGCCTGCCTGCTGCCATGCTCTCCACCAAGATGGTCCTTGAGGTAGCCTGGACACAGAGAAGGTGTCAGTGTGTGTCAGCTGCTGTTGTCATTCCTCCTTCAGCTCAGAAGCCTTCAAGAACACAGGGGAGTCCTGTGCTGTGGTGATATTTTATTTGTACTCTAAATGATAACACTTTCCTGGAGATCAGAGGAAAAACCAAGCCATTATAAGTAAACACAAAATCATGCAAAGTTAGCACACGCCTTTAATCCTATCACTTGGCAGGCAAAGATCTGTCTAGATCTCTGTGAGTTCAAGGCCACACTGGAAACAAACAGGTGTGGTGGCAAATGCCTTAAATTCCAACACTAGTTAACCATGGAGATCTGGAGGTCTGTACAGACGGACAGGAAGTGACAGAGTTGGGCAGGAAGAGGAAGTGATGTAGCTGGACAGAGAGCAAATCAGATGGCAGAACAGCAAGGCATATAGCCATGGGTAGACAGGAAGTATCTCTCATTTAGAAGCTGTGGAGTTGGTGAGGTAAGGTTAGCTGTGGCTTTCCCTATTTCCCTGATCTCTCAGGTTTTCACCCCAATATCTGGCTCCCTGTTTTTTATTTAATAAGACCATTTAGAACTTCATCTACACTGTGCTGTTCTTTTGTTTGAGTTACCGAGCCCCCTTCCTTCCAGGAGTATGACTGTCTACTGAAGGGAGCCAGGTGTGTGTGAACAGAGCATGTAGTTAGCAATACAGGGTGTCTGCCACTGTGGACTGTATCAGTCTGGTGACCCTTCCAGAGCATAGTGCCATGTGAGGCTGTGGTGGACAGAAGTGGTCACCAGAGTTCAACCTCACTTCCTCACTTCCTCTCTTACTGTCTCTGGGGCACCACTTTTTTCCCCCCAATCATGACTTGTATTGACAGGCTCTGGGTGGTTCACAGGACTGGTGTGAGGGCAGAGCAACCTCCCCAGGGAGGCAGGAAACAAAAAAGGAAAGCTTTGGTTTTAAAAATGCTAGAACTTTTCATTTCAATCCAGATATGAATTTTTAAGTTTTCTGTGAATTTCATCTCTGGATTTAAAATTGTGTTTTATGAGCTATCATTTCATTGTTAGAATTAGAGGCGTGTGCTCATCTTCTCTAGAATGCTGTCTGTATTAAGACAGCTCAACCCTGTTCCAACACCCACAACCAAGGCTGCTTGACCTGGGCCACACTCCCGACTTCTTTGAAAACTCAGGCGACCTGGCCACACCAGGCTTGACTTCTTGACCTTGAGCTATGGCACCTGAGCACCAGTACTTGCTGGTGCTCCAGTCCCTACGGCTCCTGGTATCCCTGGGCCACCTCATTCACCATGTTCCTTTCCCAGTCTCTCCTGATGCCCGATCTGAGAATGCGGCCTCTAACATGTGCTCTGAGCAGGTGACCCCGCGGAGGAGGGAGTCTGGTGTTCACATCTTCCAGGGGGAGCCCTGACTCACAACCTGAACCCCCTGACCAGAGACTGAGCTAGTCTCTTCATATTCAGAACAGACCAGGGCCCGAGGCCCAAGTGTCCCTCTCCACAGCCACCTTACTGGTGCAGCATGATGTCACAGTTACTTCACATTAATAGACTGTGAAATTAAACATATGGATCTACAAAAAAAACGCCTGCCTTTTGTGAGCTGGCTTAGGTCCTTAATTACCGCTCCTAAGGATCCGGCTGCGTGCTTCATGCTATTACGTCCTTTGCAATTTTAATTACATTCTAATCAAAGCTTTTACAAGGTCTATTTTAAGGCTTTCAGTTTAATTATCAGCATTAACAATATTCTGTTGTGCTTTACAGAACCCTTCTGGCCATTTATCTTTAAATGTTAAGTATTTATACAAATGGACACCTCCTGGTCCAGAATTTTAAGTAGCCATGCGCTAAGTGTAATTCTCTCTTTTCTTTCTGACTGCCATTGCAGAGCCAGGTTTAAGCTGGAATCAAATGAGCCCAGAGACCCCGTTTTCAAACAGTAGCGCCTTTTCTTGCACTTTTATTCTTGTGCTTGGTTTTAAAAATGCTAGAAGTTTTCATTCCGAGCCAGATATTAATTTTTAAGTTTCATGTGAATTTTATCTCCGGATTTAAAATTGTGTTTTATGAACTAACATGATTTCATTATTAAGTGTCTTATATTCACTTTCCTTTGAAAAACTTATTATTCATTTGTATGTGTGTATGTGCGTGCGTGCGTGCATGCGTGCGTGCGTGCGTGTGTGTGTGTGTGTGTGTGTGTGTGTGTGTGTGTGAATTCCATGGAGCATGAGTGGAGAGCAGAGGACAACTTGTGGAAACTGGCTCTCTCCTTCAACCAAATAGGTCCTGGGGATTGAATTCAAGTTGCCAGGCTGGACAGTAAACACCGTAAGACACTTCACCCACCACGTTATCTCACTGGCCCTCACGTTCACTTCAAGGTTGCTTGTGAATGTAGCTGCTGTAATTTTTTTGTAATCTAAGCTTTGAACTGGGTTGGAAGTTCATTCAGGCATTTCCCTGCCTCACTCCACCATTAGTAATCATGTGGCTCTATGCCAAACCACAGCTGGAGAGGACCACAGCTGGAGGGGGCCACAGCTGGAGAGGACCATACTGGGGGCCAGGGAACAGGTGGTCCATGAGCTCCATGAGCTCCACGTGCAGCTTGTAACAGAAATGTTATGATGTTGCCTCTCCCTGGACTGCTCATCGCAGAGCACTCAGCTGATGATTTACACAGTCACACATGAGTCTCTTAAAGTGCAGGCTGTTACGTTAACTGCCCGAATATGACACTGTTCAGACATCAAAGACGTATCACCTTGCATAGCATCCAGTCCCAGCAATCTGGAAAGCCAGAGAGGAGTGAAGGGAACACGCTCAGCTTTGAAAAGAACAAGCTGTCTGGGAACTGTACTCAGCCTGGAAAAGATGAATATTAACTGGCTGCATCTGACAACTCAAAGAGCCCCAGAGGCAGCAGCTCCCTGTTCTTTTCCTGCTCCTTCTCCCAGGTCCTGCCACGCTAATGCTTCCTCCTGGCCTGCAACCAGACTATGCTGCCGCCAAAGACCCCTCAGAACAGAGCTGTGCTACATGCAACTCCCAGCGGGGTAAGACACCTCAATGTCAGTTCTTACCTCTGCTGCTGCCCTGGCCAATCCCCAAGGGAAGCCACCACAGGACTGACACCCTCACCAGCATGCCAGCTCACTCTGTCCTCTGCGAATTCTTTGCCGGGGTGGAATTACATTCAGAACTGGCTCCCTAATCTAGACTGCAAGGTGGCAAGAATCTTGCACCCAGGACCTGTGAGGCAACCTCCCCACACAGGGAGCCCCTTGCTTCCAAAGTTGGAATGATCCAGGGACAGAGCCTACTTTGGGCCTTACCGTGAAACCTAATAGCTTTTGACGCACTCATGGCCAGCACCACGTCTTCTGGGTGGGAGACTTTATTCTATTTCACAACATGAACACAGAGGAGGGTGGGTGCTGCCGCAGACCCTCAGGGAAAGGAATCGCCGGTGGAGCACGCATGCCCACCAAACCCTCCCATCCTCCTTCCTGGTACTTGGGTCTCTCAGACACTGCTGCTGGTGTCCCAACCTTACAAGTTGAAAATGTTGAAGGGAGACATGGAGAGTGGCGGGAACACCATCCACAGAACGGAAGCTGGGGGGGGAGGACTTCAGAGTAACTGATGAGAATCACATTACAGAAAATCCTTTCCACTGTGTAATGACATCAGGGTGGAAGAATGAACCAGGGGCTCAGCGTCCATCTTCCCCAGACACCCGTCATACGGGGCCCTCGGTGATCCCCTCCAGAGGCAAGCTGGGTGCGCTGTCGGCCGTAGGCCTCTCCTCCTTCTTCAGTGAAGTGGGCACTCGGAGACTGACGTATGGTTTGTGGCACGCCGTGTTGGCCAGAGGAGGGTAATGCTGTCTGTAGCAAATATAGGCAAAAATGAGGCCAATCACTCCTCCAACGAAAGAATCTAGGTAGGAGAGAGGAAGTAGGGGGAAAAAAACAGTTATTCTTCCTTCACATGACCAGCCCAGATTTCCAGAAAGGTCTCTTCCCACTTGCCCTTGACGATGGATTGCTTTCAGTCTCTCCACCCCAAAGCCCTCCCACCCCCACCCAGCCCCCAGAAAACCAAAGGAAAGAAAGCATACTGAAGGTGCAAACCGGGGTGGTCTCTGCAAACATTTCTAGCACTTAAATGCTAAAAACCAAGGACTCAGACAACAGAAATGGCTCAGCATGGAAAACACTTGTTGAGAAGCCTGATGACCTGGGTTTTATTCTCAGAACCTACATAAAGGTGGATGGAGAGAACAGACCCTCCAAAGTGACTCTCTGACTTAGATGTGCACCGCCCCACCCCACCCCTGTAATTTTTTTTTAAAAAATCAAGGACTTGACTCTGTGACCCCGCCATTTAACTCACACCCAAGCATTGCATGAGCTCAGATCGGTATTTTAGATTTTTCAGAGCAGAAGAAGAATCCTAGCCATCTCTCTCACATCTGAGCACCCGCAGGGGCTGACATTTATTTTTCCCTAGGCAAGTCTTGTTGGCGTCTTTCAATCTTGCTGGTGAGCCACAAAACCCTAGCAGGTGTTCTGGTCTCTGCCTTACAGTAAGGGGTTTCTCAGGGATGAAATAAACCCTCAGAGGCATATGGTGAATAAAACCTTTCACAGTCCTTGAGACTTGGCAAACTCTTTCAAGCTCTGTAAAAAAGGAGCTTGATCCCTCCAATGGGATGCAGGTATCGCTGAGATGAAGGGGTAATGAAGGGCAGATGAAGCAGGATGACTCATCGGTAGGCAAAGACAGGCTCCTTTACCACACAGGGCCTCCAGGAGCTCAGGAGAGACCCCACGAAGGTGGCCTACCCATCAACCCTCAGTGTGTGTGTGTGTGATGCATGCCCCAACTTTCTCTACAGACTATTTCTGCCAAAACATCCCAACACAGTGGGAACCTCCCACAGTAAGAGAAATCTGAAACGCATGTCGTAGTCACTGCCACCATCAGCTGCCATTCTCTACATGCCAATTATCTTGTGAAGTCATGCAGACTTCCTACAGATAGTTGGAAGCACCTCCATTTTCCCCAGCATTCCAGCTTAATTCCATTAATACCATTGCTGTGGTAAATACCATGACCAAAATCAACTTAGGGGAGGCAAAGGTTTATCTCAGCTTACAGTTTCAGTCTATCATCTTGGGAAGCCATGGAAGGAACTTGAAGCAGAAACCATGGAGGAACACTGCTTGGTGACTCAGCCAAAGACCTATGCTTGGCAAGCTTTCTTAAACAGCCCAGGATTATTTGCCTAGGGAATTGTGTCATCCAGAGTGGGCCGGGCCCTTCTACATCCATTAACAATCAAGATATTCCCTGAATATACATGAATGCAGGTCAGTCTGATCTGGGAAATCCTTTCATTTTAGATGCCTTTGCAGGTGACACCAGGCTGTATCACGTTGACAGATAAAACTGGCCAGGACATGGAAGGCTGGAGCACTATTAACCTGAGTCTGTAGTCTGTGCTGGTCCAGGGGCTGTGTAAATCTTTACAGGTTCATTCTAGGCTTGATAACCTTGTGACTCTCTAAGGTCCCAGCCTTCAAAATACAACAGGCCTATGGGATAAAGGCTATGTCCACCCTGGGTCAAACAAGGAATAACTCTTTTCATACTTCTTAGGAAGCCAGACACTGTGCAGCTACCTCAGGTAAGTCCAGCTACCTGCCTTTTGCTTCCCGTGAGACCATAATGAGGTGTGGTCAAAGCCTTATATCTTTCCAGAAAGTGAACCTCTCAGTATGTAGTTATATGTGTGATACTAGTCACTGCTGGTCTTGTTGTAAGTATCTAGGCTCTACCTTGATCTATCAGAATAATTTTAAAAATGTCCCATTTTTAAATTTATTCAGTGCATGAATGTACATGTCTACATGTGCACATCTGCATGCCACAGTTACTGTGTGTCAGAGGACAACATTCAGGAGTAGGTTCTCTCCTTCCACCATGTGGGATCCGAGGATCCGAGCCATCAGGCTTGTCAGCAAATACCTTAACCTCCTGAGCAGTCTCGCTGGCTCTGTCAGAATTTTTAATGGGCACAAAATTTTGTATGTCACTGCCCACCCTAGAACCAACAACTGCTGCTGTTAAAATTTACAGTAGGCCAACAGGCAAACACAGTCTTCCCTAACATACACTTTAAAGTTCTTCCAAATAAATGTAGCAATTTAGTGTGTGTAATTTTATTGATCTACAATAGTAAAAACCAAAAAAAAAAAAAAAACCCAAGTATAGATAAGAGTGCTTGTATTCTAGACAGTTCCATGATGGAGGATGTCAAGGGCATATAGCCCAATGTCCAGCTGCTGCTCTAATGACCAGAGTCTAGACTCTGGTCACAACAGCGGGTGAACCTCCTTCATGTGCAAACAGATGGAACTGCTCCTCTGCTCAGTGGGACCTCCACTGCTCCTAAGAATCAAGAAGGCCTGGTGTTAATCTAAGCTGCTCACGCGGCTCTGACACATACTCCAGTCTTGTCTCCTTCATGCACAATCTTCCTGCCTGTACTTGCTTATTGGTTGCATACGTGTAGTTTCCATCCTGGGCTCAGAAAAGGATCCTGCTTACTCCCTGGCCTGCTTCACCACTTCACTCCTTATCCTTGTACAATGAAGCCCAGGGACACGTGGTCAAGACCCCTCCCCACTCCTGTGCGACTCCAGTGGTGAGTAAAGGCAAACTTTACAACTGTGGATGGCTAGCACCAGGTTTAGAACTCATGAGGGGAAGGGCTGCGGGTCTTGTTGGCCGCTGACCCCTCGACACTTGGCCAATATCTTGATGCTCATAGTGGAATTAAGATTGTTGAGGGAGGTAAATGCACAGTGAGTCAAGGGCTAGAGTTGACTTCTGTTCTGTGTATCCTTAAGCGAGCCCCTTGTTCCTGAGGTCCTCTGCCACCCTGTTGGTTATGTCTGAGTATAGAAAAAGCCATGAAGAAGCCTTCTTGTTTTTCCACTTAAATTTTTTTTAACATAAAATAGGTTATAATTCAGTCCAGAGTTATTTGAAACTGGGAAACATTTTCTCTATAGAAAATAGTAAAAATGATAACATTTCCCAATAAGCCCTTTTAAGCCAAATAATAGCTGAATTATACATATAAATATTGATCAGAAAAAAAAAGGAACGCTTCATGAATTTGTGTGTCATCCTTGAGCAGGGGCCATGCTAATCTTCTCTGCATCATTCCAATTTTAGTATATGTGGGGCTGAAGTGAGCACAAAGAGGCCTTCTTATATAAGAGTGGTCTGACATAAAGGCCAGGAACACATATGAGGAGTGTCTGCTTGGTCCCGAGGAGCAGCTATTAAGGTGGAAGTGGTGGTCTGAGAGATAATAGCAGAATTAGGAGACCATGGGCTTCGGGAAGTAGCCCATCCTCATCCATCCCCAGGGCCAAGCAGGTACACCTGGGACATGGTAATACACTCATCATCTACTCTCACACCAAACTCAGAGCATCCTTGTGGTGGGATCTCTGTCTAAGACACTAGAAGCCCCTGCCAGGGTGAATCATTTCACTTCCCTGAGCCTTGGCCTCCTTAGCTCTCGGATGGAGATAAGGTCTCAAAATTCTCCCCATTGCCCATGACAATAATTTCATGCTACTCTTTCTAAAGTTGATGCCACCGGGCATGTCACAACAGGACCTAAATCAGCTAGTCTCATCGTGTCCCTTTCACATCTTACTCCGGTGCTTACAGGGAGCTCTTGATTCTTCTCCATCTTTCTTCCCACACAGGAAGCCAAGAGTTCAGAACTGTAACCTCAGGAACATGGCCATAATGTTTATAAAGCATTTTATTTTATTTTTAAATGCAGTACTCTTTTAACAAAAGATTAACTAATTGTGTGTGCGTGCGTGCGTGTAAGTTAGAGGAAAACTTGCAGGAATTGTTTCTCTCTTCCCACTCTGTATGTCCTAGAGAACAAACTTAAGTGTCAGACTTGACATCAGGTGCCTTTACCCACTGAGCCATTTTGCCAGCCCTTTCTAGTATTTTAAATAAACTTGGAAAACATGCGTTACCCAGGCACCTGTAAAGCAGTATAGACTATGAATTCTTGAACAGGGCTCCCAGGCACAGTTAGCATCCTAGAATGAAACAGCACCACAAATGAAGAATTTCTTCATGTCATCAATGGATATCAGTCCATAAAGCACATTACAACCTTTTCTAGTTCAAGGTCTTTGAGCTGCACGATTATTTCGTTTTATTATCTTGTCCAAGCTCAGGGAACAGTCCCACAGGGTGTTACTTTTATGAGCATCTAAAATAAACCACAAAACCTAACCTGCATTTGAGCCATTGATTGTCAAACAGACCAAAGAGCTAGGTGTACGAATGACACCACCTGCTTCTCTATGGCCCAGCATTTCAAGAGGAGGGTCATTGACTGAAGACATCTAACAGCTCTAGGCATATGCTTCCTGGGCTCACTGATGCTGCAAGGAAATGGTGATGCCAGCCCAAGCATCTTCCCATTTGATGGAACAAATGAAAAGCCAAGAGGGGTGGGAAACAACAGGAACAGGAGGTAGTCCTATCCAAGCCACCTTCAAGCAGTTACTCGCGGCTGCATTTATTACCAAAGTGGGGACAAGAAATAACTTCCTTTATGAGGGAGCTTGTTACCAAGGGCTCAAGCGGGCAACTGCTGTTTCAATCAGCTCACACTCACATCCTGTTGACAGATATCAGGCAAGGGCATGCAGGTCTTCATTGGGAAAAAAAACCATTTAGGATTGACTTCACCCCAAGAAGGGTAGCATGCTCTTGAAGGACTCAGAAAAGAAATGAATGGATCTCTATGTCTCTAGCACCCAAATGCTGCTGTCTCCTTACCTAGTACTGGTGTCAATCTCTCAACCTATGTGTTTACTGTA